AGGTTGAGAGACGTATTATTATTATTTTTTTTTTTTTTGAGACAGAGTCTCACTCTGTTGCCCTGGCTAGAGTGAGTGCCGTGGCGTCAGCCTAGCTCACAGCAACCTCAAACTCCTGGGCTCAAGCAATCCTACTGTGTCAGCCTCCCGAGTAGCTGGGACAACAGGCACGCACCACCATGCCCGGCTAATTTTTTCTACATATTTTTTTTTAGCTGTCCAATTAATTTCTTTCCATTTTTTGGTAGAGACGGGGTCTCGCTCTTGCTCAGGCTGGTCTCGAACTTCTGAGCTCAGAACGATCCGCCCGCCTCGGCCTCCCAGAGTGCTAGGATTACAAGCGTGAGCCACCGCGCCCGGCCGAGAGATGTATTATTTTTACAGCTTAATTAAAAGCTATATTCTTAAAGAATTCATATCCATAGAGCATGAAAGTCCACCATGTTGTCCAGCCCAGAGAAAATAGATGTTTTACTTTAGAAGTGATGTATAAGGGTAACTTATATAATTTTCTAAGTCATAGCTTTGCATGACTATTTCCTTCCTTGATTCTTACTAAAAATAACTTCCATGAAGACAAAAATATGGCCCTCTTTATTCATAAAAATTAGCTAAAGAATTTCTGAGCAGTTATGTTTTGGTAAATTACATCAATATGTAAAAATTACTAACTAAAGGATTCTTGACAATAAGTCATTGGGGAAGATCATATAACAGAATTAAATAATTTGTATTTTGGGGTCAAGAATATAATATATTATTTTTCAGGCACTATTTTAAATAACTATTAACCATGTGAAAAATCAAGATAAGTTAACATAAGAAAAACAGATCTTAAGCTAGCAAAACATGCCTTCTTTGAGGGCTTAAATGACACATTCACTTTACTTGTACTCATTTTGGTTCTTTCCTTTTTTTTTTTTTGCATGCTAATGATTCATTTAATGTGTATGCGCTGCTATGTGTCCTCAAGCATGAACTATGTCAAGAGCATAATCTACTGATAAGAGAAAATTAAAATGCAAAAGTTGTAGGCAACTGACCCAGTTTTTACTTATCTCAGTACATATTCTTCCGAATGTTCCCTATGACTAAGTAGTGAACAAATGAACACACCACATGAGCAACAAACTGAGCAAATGTGGGTGGTTAGTGAGTTAAAGGCGGAGGAGGGCTGGAGAGAGGCCAGCTGTGTTGATTGGCCCATCTCCTGTGTTTCAAGTTAGCTACCAACATACGACCACCGAGTAGGTGGGGCTCACCTAGAACGAGAATTAGGAATAAGGACTGAGAAGAAAATTCAGCTACGGTAATGAATGAGTTTCAGCTCATTTCTGGGATTAGCCAGAGAATCAATAGAAAACAGTGGCTTGAGGGACAAGGACCTTTTGGAGACCTCAGATCCCCAATATCTAGGAAGCATAAAATGGATCTAGGCCAGCGCTAACCACCTGAGGAATCTTTTTAAAAGGAACATTTTGATTCAGTAGGTCTGGAGTGGACCTGAGATTCTGCATTTCTGTAAGCTCCCGGATGATATTGACGCTGCTGGCCCATGACCACATTTTGAGTAGCAACGATCTAGACCAGCGCCGTCCAATAGAATTTTTATAATGATGGAAATGTTCTACATCTGTACATTCCACTATGGTTCCTGAGCTCTTGAAGTGTGGTTAGTGCAATTGAGAATGGAATTTATAATTAAATTAAATCTAAATTTAGATAGCCACGTGTGGCTAGTAGCTGCAATAACAGCATAGTTCTAGACAACCACGGGTCACCTCTTCTCAGCCAGAGCGATATGTATCACAGTCCCCAAATTATCTAATCCATCAATTCATTTAGATTATCTAGCAAGTATCCTTTTATAAAATGCAAATGGTAAAATTAGTTTCTTTAAATTGACCCCACCATGTGTGCTTAAGGTAGGGAGAGATGATAGGGGCCATTTTGTACTGGGGCAATTGTGGGGAAAGAAGAGTAGATGGCAGCGAGAATTTGTGCAACTGTGACTATATTGGGTACGTGGGAAAACAAAGAGCCAAAAAGTAGGAAAGAAACTAAGAAAGGGAGGAGGAAAGACACTGAAGAGAAATAATGAGTACTTAGAAATTTTACTTAGGCTTGACTCTATCCCTTTCCTCCTTGGAAAGCAAATTCTTTCTCAGGAAAATGGAACTGAAAGAAAGCAGATTTTGGCTGTGATCCCCTCTCCACCAATCATCCAGGTGTGGGAGAGCCTATCAGGGAGAAGAGGTGACAATTACAGCCATTACAGCCACAGTCAGGTGCAGGCCAGAGCTGCTCACCTGGCTCGTGTGTGGATCAAAGCACAGAGGCCCCGTATGCACACCCCAGAGCCATGATCCAATCCCATGGAGAAGCTCTTCCTACTTTTTTTTGTAACCCCATCCCCTTTAAGAAGATCGTTTCTCTGAGATGCTGAGAGGGGCCTGAGGAGGCTCTCAGGGCACCATCCTGGCAAACAGGTGTCAGTGAGGTCACTCGGGTCCTGCGCAGCCACACGTAAACACAGCACATAGAGGAAATTGCTCTCATTCAGGAAAAAAAAAAATCCAAATTGTCATGTTAAAGAATTTCCTTCATCCAAAAGCCATTTTCAGGAAAATTCTAGCTGGTTAAGGTTTCCATTAAGAGATTCAGGCTTTATCAACTGACCTAGCCGGGAATTCACTGTACGATTCTGCTCACTGATATTGCAAAGCATATATAAAAGATGCTACCTAAGACTGAAAAGATCAACAAAGAAACAAAAAAATTCAATCCTGTACATCACGGTCTTAAATTTGGAATATGTCAAGCTCGGAAAACTATTTTCTGTTGACAAAAGGGTATTTGGGGGAGGTGAAAATCAATAAAGATTTTTATATTAACACATTCTTTGCACTGGAGTTCCTCCCCTACTGGCCCCCTACTTTATCTTTTGTGATAGAGCTAAACAGGGATCTGTGATCTCGGAGGAGTTCTGGGAATGGGGCACCTCCTATCTGGTTTCATAGGAGAGTGTTTAGAAGAGAAGGACACCACACGGGTGGGACTGTCGGAGGGCTGGAGAAGGACTTCACAGGTGTGGACCAAGTCAGGATAATTAAGTGAGTAGCTCACGACTCTTTTTTAAACTTTACTAGATATAATTCCCTTTGGAAAATTTCCATTTATCCACAACTTAGGTAAAATATATAGTCAGACATCCTTGGTCAGAAAGCCATCAGGTTCATTTATCTTTAAGATATCCAAATTTTATGATTTTACTAGTAGTTAAATACCCAAGTTGAAAATAAGAATAAAGTGTCAAATAGGGAGTTAAACTCCCTTGATAGAATTAAATTCTATGCCTGACAATAGTTCATTTTAAATGCTCTCCAATTAATATTTCTCTTTAAATATTGGGCAAAAAATTGTCTAGAAAATATCAATGATACTGTATCTCAATATTATACATATGTATGTACATACGTATACATGTGTATGTGTATGGATGTGTTTATACACGTATATATGTATATGTATATATCTGGGAATATGTATACCTACTGAGCACCTAGCAGGCTACTTTACGAAAATTGTCACCACTTGGTCAGCACCCTGTTTACTTCTTTTATATAGAACATTTAAAAATATTACAATTTAATTTTTTGGTACGTAATGGCTAAAGAAAGCCTGTTTAAGGATATTTTTGTGACTTTTTGATATGTATGCCTTTGGCTTTCAAAGATTTGATAATTGTAATGTTGATTTCTAATGAGGTACACTGAAGTAGAGTGGTTTAGAAAAAGGAAAATAATATCTCCCTGATAGGAATTAAGAACTGAGAAAGAGAATAGTAACAATGTAAAGCCCTTAAGAAAAAATTTAAATCTCTTCCTTTGGGAAGTTCGTGTCAGAAGTTATTGTGGCTAGTGGGTGAGTCTGGGTGATCCATCAGTACACAAATCTCAGCTGAGACCTTGGGAAACTCCTGGAGGTCAACACTCTACTATATGATAAATTCAAACAGAATATTAAATAATTATTATATTGAAATGAAACAATAGAAACAAAATGTGGCAATTGGGGTAGGAAAGCTGTAATAAGTTCTGTTAAGCAATGGGGCATGTAATTTTAGGAAAACACCCAGAGAATTTTCTTAATGTGCATACCTACTGTTTATGATAGATTGAAATGAAATTGACTTGCATAAGATGTATATCATTTGTTGATAATGGCACAGACACATGTTCACAAACTCTTAAGTACAGAATATTTATGCAAAATTCCACATTAATAAACAGAAAAGTGCAGTGCCCTTAGCCAACAAAAATGAACTTGAGCAGTAATAAATTAAATTCCATTAAAACTGACATTAAAGATCTTAAAGTGTTACAATATTAGATGTGACATGCAAGAAAAAGAATGACATTTCAGGCAGGAACGTCGTGCATTTAGATTTGCAATCATTCATAGTATTCGACGGGTTTTAACCATATGCTTTGCCCACTGAGCACTAGGAACCTGAGGTGATTCCAATCTAACATTCAGAACACCATTTATATTTTCATCTCCTAATCAATGATTTTAAGGAAAAAGCCAATGCTTCCAATAGTGAAATCTAGTAAGTTTAGCCACGTACTGTTATGCAGCCGCACAGTAAGAATATTCCATCAGACCAGATCTTAAGGAAAGGAAACATTTTACAATTCCACCTTTTAGACAATGCAATCATCTCAGGTTCCTCCTACCTTTTACTACCGCGAACATATCTGAATATGTCAGGTTTGCACAGTAAGAAAATGGCTTTGTGGAATGTATTATTTTTTGGCACAAAAATATTTTCTAATACCTCAAATCAAAATTTTCACCCACAGCAAAATATCAAACCATAGAGGTGCTTCACTGGTGCTTACTTATCTATATAGAAAACTATAAGAATGGCCAATTGCTTCCAAGAACTTTGTATTAAGTAGCAATCACTTCTCTTTCAAAGAATAGCACCAATATGATTACACCTCAGACTGGGGAGTGCTCCTTCCAAGCTCTTTAATTCCCTGGAGAATTCGCTTCATATGGCCCACTTTCGGTATCCCCAGGTCCTAAAAAAAAAAGAAAAGGAAAAGACCAAAGGTAGAAAGAAAAAAAAAAAAAAAGAAAGAAAGGAAAGAAAAGAAAAGAAAGAAGAAAGAGAAAAAAGTTTATTGATAATAGAAAACTGGGGACTAAATATTTAACCAGCAAATAACACAGTTGGCATTCAATACATCCATTTTAGTTTATATTCAATGATTCAAGAAGTGAAAGCTAGAAGAATATTAATAAGCTAATAAAACAAAAACAACCTGACATTCAAGAATTACCAACTGATCCTAGCACTCTGGGAGGCCGAGGAGGAGGATCGCTTGAGGTCAGGAGTTTGAGACCAGCCTAAGCAAGAGCGAGACCCCATCTCTACTAAAAATAGAAAAAAAATTAGTCAACTAAAAATAGAAACAAAAAATTAGCTGGGTGTGGTGGCTTACACCTGTAGTCCCAGCTACTTGGGAGGCTGAGGCAGAAGGATCGCTTGAGCCCAGCAGTTTGAGGTTGCTGTGAG